GAATCGCTTCATCATCAATCAACCCATTCTTCCCCTTCTCCCTTTCTCTCTTCTTCACGCCTTCTTTCCTTATCCCACCGTGTTTCTGACATGCCTGGMYGATCATCACTACCAGCGGATCCCAACCACCGCTAGCCATAGCGCGCGTTCGAGGAAGCTACAGCGTGAATTCCTTGGACTGCCTGCTTGCGCTCTACACATATGACGGTCCGAAAAAAGGGAGAGAACACTGCCTTCGCCTACCTTGATATGTATACTTCGATCGAGGTGCTCATTTTACTTGGTAGCCTTGTTTCCCACCCGTTGTGCGCGTACCAACGGGCGGGAGTTTCCTTCCAGAAGGCGGGAGTCAGAGAGCCCAAAAACAGAGGGGCAGACCTTCGGAGAAAAACCCAACCCAGCGCGTCCATTTTGGGCCAACGCGTGCCCAAATGGTTGGTGCGRTACCGCMGCCGACAGAGTGCTCAAAAACTGCATTTTTTCTCTATTTTTTCCTCTTCTATTTTTTTCTCTACCCCTCGACAAAAATTACACGCAGTCCTCCCGCCCACCAGCCTATCTTTCCTAGTATCCAGCAACGGAAAAAACAAAAACCGGACTGAACCGGAGACGATTGAGAAGCCGAGAACGAAAAAATCAGACAGATACCGAAAACCAGAGCCAAAAATCAGAACCAGAAATCAGAACCGGAAATCAGAACCAAAAACCAAAAAACAGCCGACGGACAGCCCCTCCCCTCCTTCCTCAGAGTGCGGTTCTTCCCTTTAGGCGGGGGTAGACCTGGGTGATCCAAGATCTCCAGGGACCCCCAACCACCTTGGCAAAACGAGCTAAAGATCCGAAGAAGACCTCCGAGGTGTATCCTCGGAGGCGTGCTTCTCTTGTAATGCAAATAATCGACGTCCAAGCCGCCTGTTCATCAGTCGCTGTTCGCCACACCCTGAGCATCAACGCCGTTAGGGTGATCCTTTTCGTTTTCTTTGATGTGTAGGATTCGAAATCCTGCATGGAGTGAAAGTGGAGATGCTTGTCCTTCATCAGCAACATCTGATTCTTCGTTCGTGGGAAAATGTGCACCCTAGGAGGATCTGGTTCAAGGAGAATCCTGCACCCAAGAAAGTCCCATGCATTCGCCCCTTCGTCTTTCCTCACTAATGTTAACGACTCGGGGTAGCATGTTGCGAATCTGTCAAATAATGCACTCGCCTCCTGATAGCTACCTTGCGTCGCCTTATCCATCACGACAACGATTGAGACATCGTCCACCATTCTAATTCCGGCTATCAGACGCCGGTCATTCCCAAGACTGCTAAGGAAATCGAATTCTAACTTGGCGCACAAGAGGTTAGCAAGTGCTGGGGACGAGTGTTTACCCATTGGTATACCAAATACCTGCTGGTATACCTTCCCTTCACAAATTGTGAAGGTATGATCAAGCTCGAATCTCAACATGGTGAAGATCATTCGAAACGACAGAAAAAGATAACCATCTTCCCTACAGGTGGTCCTGGTCATCCTGCAGTTCTTYCCCCTCCTGCTGAGCTTCMCCCCCGCCAGTCCCCTCCTCTCATGCATGTGAACCAACCAGGTTACCGACGTGATGATATCGCCATAGGGGAGCTTAGCAAACATATCTTTTATGTCATAGCTCCTTCCTACGACCGTATCGCCACAGCTGCAACCTTCTTAGTCATGACTGCCTTCAAGTTGTCTGTAGCTCGTAGGCTAAAGTGCTGATTCTCCGGCAGGCACACAAGCATATACCTCAGGGCTCTCCCCAGTCTAGAGCTCGCTGTCCTGGATGGTTCCGACCACAACGGTGAGATCGGACACCATCTTCCGTAATCCTTATCCTTCGGGATTACATAGGCCCTTCCCAGTCTTCCACACGTCCGCCACGTGGCTACATGCAGGAGTCCGGCTTCTTTGTACGCAGCCTTCGACTCTGCTAATACCCGCTCTTCATTCTGCGTCTTATTTACGAAGCCGGGATTCCAACTGAACGTCATGCGGAAGCCATGGAAGTACAACACTGGACATATTACCAGAGTCACGCCTGGATTCCTATCCAAGGACACCAGGACTAGAGAGCGTATGGCGCGCACGTTGCGGGCGACCTCCTGCTCGGTCAGCGCAGATGGCAATGCCATCTGCTCATGGACGCATCTCCGGACATCTGCGTCAGACAGCTGTAGCAAATTGTTCCTCCATGTCTTCGGTATCACCTTGATGATGGCCTCCGGGAGTTCCAATGTGCTTACGACCCTACCGCAAGTAACATTCCTTGAATTGAGAACGAACCGATGTACACCTCGCACCTCGTCCAATCTCGTCCGCACGTGTCCCTGAAACCGTTGTAGCGACAACCTTGAACACGTACACCCTTCCTCACCATTTTGCAGCTTCTTCTTGTAGTTGTGGATGATGTTGGCAACCATCCTGCCCTTCGTCTTAACCATCCTCATCCTCTCTATCACGAGAGTGCGAATGGCTTCATCAGGTACGGATATAGTAATCACCTTCGTCATGAGGTCCCTAACAGCACTCTGATTCACCTGGACCGAGTACGGAATCTTCACGTACAATCTCCTTCTCACCTCGACCCCAAACTTCTGCTTCAATACACGCGAGATCCGGTTCTTCAAACAGTTTCGTGTAGTGCTGCTCGAGAACAAGCCCGCCGTCCTGTATAAGGCTACGAGCTTCCTACTCGATAGCTTGTATATGGTGCGGACCCGCCAAGGTTGCATCAGAGTATCTCGAAGAAAGCGCTTGTTTCGCTGCGTGCTGGTCGGGGTTGAAACCAGATTGACTATCCTAAACGCACAGCCTGCTTCAATATCCCTCTTAGCCTCCCACAACTTCTTCCGAGTCTGCCCAATGAGGATATAGGTCTGTCCGTATTTCTCCCACAACTTCTTCCATGAGCCGACCCATACCCTTCCCGCTTCTGAGGTCAGTCTCACTTCTTGCTTCCCATTGATATTGTCTAAGAGATCTGCCAACGACGCATACGATTTCGCCTCATACCGGAAAAAGACTATTCCACCGTCCCTATCATCTTTTCTCCCTCTCAGTCTCCCCTTCCGTCGCTTCTTCGGTCGTGTCCTCACACACCCAATCGTGTTAAGAACAGGCGAGAACCTGTGAATCATAGATCTTTCAACTACTAGCCCGTCCTCTACTCCCGTCACTAATGGCAACACTATATATCTGTTCCATCCATAGAATCTCAGCCACGAATTCAACTTCGGCGCATTCCCAACCCCACCCGTCTTCGAGCACCTAATATGCTCCGCCCAGCGTGTGATTATCCGCCTAACCGTGCACCCCACATAAAAATTTCTTACAAAAGGGACTCACCACTGCGTACACGCCTGGTTGATTGGTATCTACCCAGTGCGGATCTACATACCTCATAATCTTCCTCATCCATGGTACGTGCTCCAGGACGACCAACAACAGAACCAACAGGGCCAGCTCATTCTCCTCATCTCTACGTAGCAATGGATGGGCTCCAGACGCCTCCCTCTTCCCCCTCCCCAAAAAGAGCTCATGGATACGTGTTGCCGCGGCCCGTGAGGTAAGCTGTCTACCATCATCACACATCCTTGATCTCGACCCCTCCTGGTTTCCGTATCGGCGTCGACTGCTCGTATCGTTCGAAGAATCCTTCGTATGCGAGTTTGGTTCTGCAGGGTGCAATTTGCTCTATTCCTTGCTCCTTGACTACGTACTTAACTCCCTCCTGATCGCAGATCCTGCGAAGCTCTGTCGCTTTCATGGCACTCAGGGCGTGTGTCTGAGAGAGTGCATACTCAATCAATTCCTCACTCGAGCCTCCCGCAGGGCCCACCTTCTTAGGAGTCAAGAAACCTTCGTCGTGACCGTCCTCATCCGTCACTTGTGCTTTCCCCTTTCGCTGCGATGTCTTCTTCCTCACCGTCCGACTCGTAGTCTTACTTACGATTGGTGATTTCTTCTTATTCTTCCTCTTCCGCTTCTCCAATGCCTCAACCAACTTCTCGATCTCGTCTCGTACTTTGTCACTTTCGTCGTCGGACGCTGCGATGTAGTTCCTGATCTCTTGGATCATGCGCGCCTTGGTCCGTGGAGACCGCTTTCTTGAATCAGCCGATGGCTGCTCTACCGTTGGTATCTGTATCGCCAACTTCCGTTGTGTTAAAATCTTCACAATCGTCGCTTCTAGTCACGCCTCCCTTGCTTCTTCGTCTCGTAACATCTCCCCTTCTCTCCTTTCTTCCTCCTCTTTCCTCCTTGCCTCCTCGATCTCTCGCTGCTTTTTCCCCTCCTATTCCTTCTCCCTCTTCGCTATCCTACGCAAAAGCTCCTTCATCTCCTAATCTTCTTCCGGCCGCTGCTTACTCGCCGCTTGCCAGCAATTGCGAGAGTAATGCCCCGTCTTTCCGCATATGAAACATGTAACGGTCCCGTACGCTGCTGGGCCGCTGTTCTGTCCAGCCAGGGGAGATCCGGGCATGCTTTGCCCCATCATCGGGCTAGCCATCCCTTGTCCAACCAAACCCTGACCTGCCATCCCGTGCCCTACCATGCCAGGGCCACCCATCCCGCCCACATTAGTCTGCATGTTTAGTGAAGCCGTGCTAATACTACAATCGCGTGGCCGATAGCGGTGCAAATCCGATCAAGCAAACGATATGTCTCGTTCAGGCTCGGCACCACTTTCAATTTATACAGTACGGAGGAGCGTTTGGCCCGTCTTGTAATCGGGAAGAGAACGAGCCGACATAACGTCCCTAGCAATCTCTCGCTGCGCTTCAAGTATTCCATGACACTATGCCTCACCCGCACGCTATTCCTATCCGTGACTGACATCCGCAGGATGATGTTATCGCCAAGTTGCCGTAGAACCCGACGGAGCCGTCTTAACCCCCGCAGATGCTTGAAGATGAGGATACTCAGCTTCAGCATCCACGACCTGACAGCCATCCCTCCTATTCGCTCCACAACACCCACCTCCTATCCCCCTGCACTCCAGTATCCGGTTCCTTGCTACCGAAGTAGTCGAGAACCACACGACAACGCACACGGCCCAAGGCACGTTGATCATCGCGTCTACCTTGAAATCAAGGGTGAACGAACAGAAACACTGCTCAAAGTGGAGGACAAAGCTTAAAACTTTGCCAAAAACACCACACAAAAACACGCAATCCCTCTACCGGTTTCGACTTGTGCGTGACAAGTCTCTTCAGGAGGGTAAGTCAAAAATCGATGGGAACGTCTTCCCACCTTCATCCTTTATAGCCCCGAATCGCTTCATCATCAATCAACCCATTCTTCCCCTTCTCCCTTTCTCTCTTCTTCACGCCTTCTTTCCTTATCCCAC